TGTGATACAATTACAAAATCGTTCATCGACCTGTGACCTAGGGCATCCTGGTGCCACATGCTTATTGACACCCTTATGTTCGTACATGGTGTTAAATATGGACAAAATGTGATTTGCACAGAATTCCAACAACAAAAAACCACTCGGGTTCAGATCCGGGAGGCCGTTCCTCCCAATCAGGGCCCTCCAGGTTTCACTGTTGTTGCCCAAGTGAGCGTTAAAGTCTCCCAGTAAGACAAGAGTCCCCAGATGGAGCACCCTCAAGCACTCTGCCCAAGCAACTCTGAACCGTCGCATAAGCGCAGACGACAGTCTGGACACGTTCCCTGACCCGAAGGCGCAGGGAACAAACCCTCTCATCCACTGGGAGAAACCCCAATGTACAGGCAACAAGCCGAGGGGATACTAGAATACCCACCACAGCCTGCCGCCTCTCACCAGGGGCAACTCCAGACTGAGACAAAGTCCAACCCCTCTCCAGGAGACTGGTTCCAGAGCCCAAGCCGTGCATTGAGGTGAGCCCGACTATATTTAGACGGTACCTCTCAACCTCACGCAGTAACTCAGGCTCCTTTCCCACCTGGGAGGTGACATTCCATGTCCCAATTGCTAGTCGTGGTAGCCGGGGATCGGTCTGCCAGTTCCTTCACTCCTGGCTGCTGCCCGACACACATTGCACCCAACCATTATGGCGCCCCCTGCAGGTGGTGAGCCTACAGGAGAATGGGCCCAAGTCCCTTTTTCAGGCTGTGCCCGGCCGAGCCCCTGGATTAAGGCCCGGCTACCAGATGCTGGCCCTCGGGCATTTTATTTTCTTAAAATGGTTAATTTCTTAAAATGGTAAATAATGCTTCCCTGTGTTCTTGACTTTTATCATTATTATTGCATGCTCCTCTAATATTGGTTTTCTATGGCCTAGTATTGGTGTCTTTAATCTTTAGTTACTGATGACCTTGGTTTGATAGACTTCCTAATGTTTCCTTTCTGTGCCCTCCGTCTTCATGGTTTTCCTTCTGTCAAGTTCATATGCTGAGTCCTTGCTTCAATATTTATTTCCTGTTTTATTTTGGTAATTCCTGCTTCATGTGTTCAGTGTCCAGTTTAATTTCCCTCAGTCTCCAGTTTAATTTCCCTCAGTCTCGTTCTCCTTTATGAGTTTTAGTTATGCTCACTTGGCTTGCCTAACCTCCCTAATTACTCTTAGTGTGTTTATAGCCCTTATCTCTCCTTAACCCTTGGTCACATCAAACTGTTTGCCTGCTGCCATGATCTTAGTCCCTTGTGTTGTATGAATTTTTTACAGCTTTAATGAAAGGTTGTTTTAAGCTTCAAGTCTGCCTGTTAGTCTGCACTGGGGTCATAGTTCTTCCCAACTACAACACTTGTGACTGTTGTTA